TTCACGGGTGCAGATGGGTTTGCGTGACAAACCACAATAGACAACAGGTTGTCATACCGTTTTACGCTTGTGAGGTTAAGCAGCCAATTCTTTCGGTTGCAAGGCTGGTGGAACAAGGTTTCCAACTTACACTGGGTGACATTCCAAGACTACAGCGCACCAAAGGATCCAACAGCACATTGGAGAACAGAGATGGCCTGTTCTTCCTACAAGCAGAAATCACAACACTGCCAAGAGGAACAAAGCTACAGATACACAGCACACAGCAATGACAGATTTGCATGATAGCACCGACCACAACGCTTACACCACAAGGTCCTGCAGACACAGGTTATGCACACTCTTCACACCATCAAGAACACAGTGTCCAGCCCCGGCAGAACAACTGGAGGACTACAGAAGAATCAGACCCAAGGATGTCACAACGAACACGTTTGAGGACACGTACCAAATAACAGATGCTCCAAAAAAAACACAACAGCAAATGTGGAAATGAGAAACAGCATTCAGGATCAAGAAAGGTACAGCAACACCAGACACACTGCAGCAACAGTTTGCAACAAAGACACAGCCAAAGAGCACACCGCAGAATGTTACACCACGAGTAGTTCAGTGCAATCCACGCGCACGACTGAGAGAGAAAACAACACCACCAACAGCGCAGGACACAGCAGCACCACGCACCACCAAAGGTGCAGCTGGACAAGGGCTTCCGCATCCTGCAGAAGTACATCTTGGAGGAGACTACTGGCACAGAAGGCCCATACTGGAAGAGAGTACACATCAAGCCACGCACACAGCATTTTACACACCAGAGCAGACACATGACGGGCCAGACATTAAGCGACTTACACCGTTCAAACAGACCAAGGCACAACCAGCTGGAGAAAAGCGCAACACAAGATTGGTAGAAGATGAATGGACAACACAGCAAGCAAAGACATCAGACAAGCCTTGGACAGGCTGGGCAAACTTCGAGGAAACTACACAACTTGAGTCAGATGATGAAGAGCAACAACAAGGAACAAAAGCGAAGGTAGCGCAAGCACCCAAGCAACCAACACCACAGGAGATTCACGAGCACAACGTGACACACCTCCCTTACAGGAGTTGGTGTCCAACATGCGTACGAGCAAGAGGCAGACAGAACAATCACCCAAAGCGACACAGCAAGCTTCCAATCATACGGCTTGACTTCGGCTACATCACAGGCTTTGATGACAGCAACGTACATCCAACCCTCACAGCAATTGACATCCAATCTGGGACGGTCATGGCCATACAGCTCAACAACAAGAGGATGTTTTTTTCCACTATGCAGTCACACAACTACAGCACTTCCTCATTGAATGTGGAAGGACATCACAATCCATACTACAATCAGACCAGGAAGACTTCCTGGTAGCACTGATCACAGCAGTGGCAAACAAGAATAGTAGGAACTTAGGAGCATACAGTGAACTTAGGAGCATATAGTTCACAGTCACAAGGAGGAGTAGAGCGAGCACACAGAACACTGTTTGCACAAATCAGAACACTCCAGGCACAAATCAGGCAGAACTACAACAGAGACATCCCAATGGAACACCCACTCATGCCTTGGACAGTTCGAGACAGCGCATACATCATGAACAGGTATGCAGTTCACAGCAATGGATGCACAAGCTACTTCAACAGATGGCACAGAGAGCAACACACACACACCACTTTGCGAGTTTGGTGAGACAGTGCACCACATGCTACCAACAGTGAACCAATTTCCAAAGCCCGAGCCAAGGTTCTACAAGGGGATCTGGCTTGGCAAGGATACAACTACAGGCGAGTCCCTCGTTGGGACCTACAACAAGATTGTCAGAGCAAGGACAATCAGAAGGCAGATAATGCTTCACAGGCACAATCAGCTACTACTGGACTGTGCACACACAGGTCCATGGAAGACACCAGCATCCACCTACTCTCACAACACCAGTTACAATGCCAGCAGCAAGCAAAGCACTCACATCACAGAAGGATGCAGCATCAAGCGCAGCAGCAGAAGGCAAACCGAGTGATCAGCACACAAAGCAGAAGAAGACAGCAGAGCCAACATCACCAATGGCTACATCACCAACCCATCAGAAACGACCAGCATTGCCAGCGCCACCGCCTACATCACACACAGGAGAAAGAGATGACACAATAGCAGGAGGCAGCACAGACAAGCAACAGCGCACCACAGCAGATAGACAAGCGCTGGAGCGGCCTACAACAACAGAACAACCAAAAGGCAAAATGAGGACAAACGCCATCACGTTTACAACCAGAGGTGGCAAACAAATGGAGACAACATCCAACGAGGACACAGAAGAAATCGACAACGAAAGGATCCTACCAGAGCCGATCCTACATGACACAGAAGGCTTGGATCCACAACTCGTTTCACAAGGCATGAAGAAAGAAGTACAACGCATGAAAGACCAATCAGTCTTTACAGAGATTGATGGCAACACAATGACACCAGAACAACGAGCAAACACCATTGAATCAAGATGGGTTCTTAAACCAAAACACAATGAAGCACGAGCACGAACAGTAGCAAAGAACTACACAGAACCCGTTACAGATCATGACCTACTCTTTGCAAGCACACCATTGTTTTGCATGCTGAGGGTACTCCTCACAATGGCACTTGTGCACAACTGGTCAGTCTGTGCAGAAGATGTCAGTGTTGCATTCCTACATGCAGCAGCAATCTGCTACAACTTGGTAATGAGACCACCAAAAGAATTCTACAACGAAGCAAACAGACACATAATGCGGCGGCTGAACAAAACCACCTACGGCCTGAGATCATCGCCAAAAACAATGGCAAGACCGCATAGCACACTCCTCACAGTTACACTTGACCGTGTGAGATGCACAACAGAAAGCAATGTCTACAGGCCAAAAAGGACTGCCAGGTCTACATCATGATCTATGAAAATAGGAGTACAGAGCATCATCGACACACTGTTCAGCAGAATACAGAAAGAAGCACTGCTGAGACACACAAGCGACCTCAATGTAGGCACAACAATATATTTCCTTGGCAGGAACATTTCACACAAAGGCAACTACATCGACATAAGCTTGAGCAACAACTACGTTGACACCATCCTGGAAGAATCAGGAATGACTACATGCGACCCAGCACCATCACCAGGAGTGTCACACATGAGAGGTACAGCAGAAGATGAAGCACCACTCGACCACAAACAGCAGCACAAGCAATATAGGCGGCTTCTTGGCAAGGTACAATGGCTAGCATACACACAACCAGACATCAGCTATGGAGCAAAGGAACGGGCAAGATCACTACAAGCTTAAGAACACAAGGTACATGCGACACAACCTGCGACCAAAGATTCAGACACAGGACTTGCGAATCCCGCTCAACATTGACACGCGCACAGATGCCAACTGAGCATCATGCAAGAAAACAAGGAAGAGCGCAACAGGATTTGCGACACTTCTTCGGAGCAGCAATACACTTCTGGAAGCAGAACACGAGCAACAATAGCACTTTCACCAGAAGAGTCAGAGCTGGTGCAGCAGCACTACAGCAGCAACTTCATCAAGGAAGCGTTTGGAGTACGCACCAACATCAGGATACATGCAGACAGCAGCGCAGCTAAAAATCACGATGCGAGAAGGTACATCAAAAAAGCAAACCACATTCAGCTGCGACACTCTCAACAAGCACATGTACACAGTTGGCGTGTGAGGCCATCGCAACAGTTTCACACCAGTAAGTACAGTAGTCAGCACAGTTTGTTAAACAACAGTTGCACAGGTCACCTTTCCTTGTCTACAACGAATGTGAAAGTGCTACAACTTAGTTTCACTTAGGAAATCCGGAGCCATGGTACATCTGTTCTTGTTCTGGGAGTTCTACGACCCCCTTGCAATGGTTTTTCTGCAAGATACATGTCAAACATGGATTTGCATCCCTTTTACCTTTTACATCACTATGTCTTCAGAGCACAAGATTTGCTAACACAATGTCCTCGACATCTTCATGGACCAACGGTTTGGCTTGGGACTACAACGCCATGGTTAGCTTGAGCCACCTACAGACTGCAACATGTGATTGAGTACTCGGGTCTACAGATCCTCAAGTACACCAGCCAGGTGAACACGTCGTGCGAGGAGCTCATCGCAGCAGCAACCAACATGGACGAGGTTACAGCAGTGTCTGGAAAGAGGCCAAGAAATGCGTGAACACCATGGTTCACACAACTGCGATTTTTGGCGGTGCACATGAGTGGTACAGTCGGACAGCTGGATACAACATTTGCTTGATACAGCAGCTGTTTTACAGTCGCACAGCTTGGTACACATCTTTTGTACAGTGGCAACATCCATTCTCAACATTTCAGGAGAATGTATATAACATTATCCTGAGGAGGCGTGTTAAACACTACATGCTTTCTCTAGCAGTACAGTTGGGCTACATCCGCTGCCCATACATCCTAAGGCCTTCAGCCTATGTACAGACCTGCCGTAGTACAGCTACAGTAGACAGTACATCATTGCCCAGAGGAAAACAACTGCGCTGCACTTCACGCACAGGTTCAACACATCAGGTAAATGGGTATACAGTTGCTCCAAGTTTAACAGTATATACATAATGTACATAATATGATATATATACATACCCTATATGTATACACACATATACCTTAGATATGTTTAAGGGTTGACATGTTCAATCGCCCCCTGTTTGAAAAAAAACCGCCTCATTTGTGTGTCCCTTCAAGTCTGGCCAGCCTGGCACTAGGGGTGACAACCTCCTGGACGCTTGGACAGTGCAGAAAGCTTGGGAATGACCAACATACTTTGGGGCAATATCCGTTTTTGAGGGTAGTTCGGAAGTAGTTTCGGGGTGCAGGTGTAAACACCTTGTGTTTGAACAGCCTCTGGTGTCCCTTCAAATCTATCAGAACTGCGTTTTGTTGTCCAAGTGTGCCACCAACCCTCAGGCCACATTTGGAGCGGATGCCGTGAATGGCTATGAGGCCAACCTGGAGAAGGCGCAGCCCTCTTTCGTGAGCCAGAGGCACTGGCAATCACCTTCCTGGATCCCCAAACTACGCTTTAAGATTGCATAAGCCTGTGGGTCATTGGGATGTTCACTGGGGGTACGGGACTTTGACCCATGGCCATATTGCCGAAACTATGGGGTGATTTCCCATTTGCTTCAGGGGACGTTTGAGGGTCGTTTGGGGGAACACCCATTCTGGAGAATCAACCGTCTGCCTTTCTTGGACCCTTGGAGAATGGTGCGGCCCCCATCGAAATACCTCAAATTTGGGTTGGAGCCATTCCAAACTGGCTTTCTCGTGCCCTTGCTGAAATCCCCCATGTTTGCTCTTTCTAAAATGAGGATGGTAGAAACTGATGGTCTGCAGGCCTATTTTTGGGTTCACCCTTTGTGGCCCTTGTTGTGCAGGCAGTCGGGCTTTACAGCAGGGTTTTGCAGCACATGCCGGTCCGGTGTTTGCGAGCTGGGCTTGCCGTTGGGCCCGTGGTTTTTCTGGGAAGTTTAGTGAGTGCCGCATGTCTCGTTTTGGGTTTCCCGCAGCATCATTCCGTTTGGGGTTGGGTTTTCCCGGGATAGGTATCAACGAAAAACAGGCAGTATACGAAAAACAGCTTATCAAGCATCTACAGAAAATTATCGCCGTTTTCGAAGCAGCTGCGAAGAAACAAGGAAAGAGGCAGGCAGGCTGGCAGGCAGACTGGCAGGCAGGCAGGAAGAAAATCAGGAACCAAGCAGGCCCGCGTTCTTTCATGAGGTTTGTTGTTTTTCTCCGCGGGATTTTGGTGTTTTTCTGTGGGATGTGTTGTTGGGTTGTGTGGCTGTTTGCGAATCGCATTCTCAACATCAGCATCACCGCCCCGAACATCACTCGGGCCTGGGGCGATTCGACGCGATTCGATTCTGAAGGAGCTTTGATTGCGGTTCTTGATTCGATTCTATGCCTCCCTGAATGCGTTTTTCCTGCCTAACAATATGTTTGATCTCGCGGAATTAGTTTGGTTGGCGCTTGAGAAGGCTGTTTGTTCATGCCTCGCCTGGCTTTCCGTCCCCTAGAATGGGTGGCTTCCTTTGGCTCGCTTGAAACCAAGTCCGAAAGTCAGCGCCAAATCCATTCGCATGTTGCTTGTTTTGCTCCTGCCACGGCTTGAAATAAAGCCCCGCGCCTCGCTACCTCTCACATAAGTCACGGTGGTTTGTAGTCCTTCGCAGCCCATGTCAAACTTGGTGGCTCCCAGCCATCTCCTTAGCCTTTTGGCTTTTTGGGCTTAGTGGTAGTCTCCATTTAACCCACTAAAAGTCAAGGTTCTAGCGGGGGATCTTGGGGCAGCCCAGCAAAGTCCCCCAAGTTTGGGTCGGTTTCCCCATGTCCCGCAAACATGTTGTGTTGGGTGAAGCCATGTCGAAGTTTGGGGTCGGTGTCAAAGTTTGGGCTCTTTCCAGGTGAAAGCCTTGATCGCGGAGAAGGGCCTTGACAGCTCAGACGACCTTGCGGTGCTCAAGGCCTGCGTGGAGACGAAGCTGAGCCGAGACAAGCGCTCCCGTTCTTCCTTCCTTGTTGAAGGGCCGTTCCCGTTGAGGAGAAAACGGAAGCCATATTTTTTGGTTCTTTGGGTTCCCCTTTAAAGGAAGGGCAAGTGGAACCCGTAGGTTTTTAGTTTTTGTTTTTTTTCTGGGGTTGGCCTTTGAAAGGAAACAGCATGGAACTTGCTGGATTTCTTCTTTCAAAGTTCCTCATTTTCAGATTACCCGACAAACGGAAGGGGATCGACTGAAATGATTGGTCGGTTCAGTTTGGGAGCATTCCGCCATTCCCTAAGAACCAGCAAGCAAATCCCGCCCCACATTCGTTTGCCAACAGTCTAGGCAGACGTCAGCAAGCTGTGGGATGTGGGCAACCCGGGCTTTTTGCCCCGTGGGACATGATCTCTTGAGGAATTCGGTGATGAGCTCATATCCAACATCGTGATCCATCCAACCCCTGTTTTCCCCGTCAGGAGGTGTTGCTTTTTCGGCCGCGCTTCCTATGGGCTCAGGAAGACGCGCTTCGTGGATGTGAACTTCACAAAGGAGGCAGTCATGGGATCCGGACAGGCCGGCCGGACGGGGCGTGAGAGGTGATGCTACGGCGGGTTTCCCATTTTTGTCCAAAGTGATGCTCTCAACGTAGAACTTGCCAATTATCCGACGAGGCAAGTTCTGTTGTATAAATTGTCCTGTTGCTTGTGTGTTTGCTTGAACTCTTGTTTTGGTGAGGGTTTTGTCGGTGGTTCAGCGAGCTCCCTTCTGTCCCGATCTAGGATTGCCCGGGTGTCTTCCTGTGCCCGGAGCAGTACCTCCGCGATGGTCAGACCAAATGCCTCTTCAAAGCGGATGAGAGTTACAGCTGCAAATGGGTGTGGGTCAAAATTAAACCACCAGGGGACCGCAGATTTGAGCCCCTGGTTCCATTTGCCAGGCTTCTATTTTGGGTACCCATTTTTAACCCACAGCCAAATGGCGATTATGCCCGGGTTGGGCGAATATGTGTTGCCACCTTTTGCTGTTCCAGGTTTCCCTGTATTTTCACTGTTGGCGATGTCAAACATCGCCTTTTAGCCCGGCCAAGGTGAGCTTCCCTTATGGGTGATGTTTGAAGCACAAAAGAAGATTGTTTGAAGAAGGGCTTGCCCCTTCTTCACATCACAATGTTCAGACCACTATGGCTCAAGCAGCCTCCTTTTGGCTTCCAGGGGGCTAGGCGCTGGTTGTTCAATTCATTTGGGGCAAAAAGCAGCTCGTCCCCCTGGCGTGCCCCTGGAGCCGTAATGTACATGCAGCTTAGACCACTCGCGCACATGCATTTACATGGCTTAAGAAAAGTAAGAGCGACTATAGCACAGGTAGATTGTTGTCTCACTTGACTTCCCCCGTGTTTCTGTAGTGTACTCATGGTTGGGTTATCTTAAAGCAACCAAGAAGCACTTCCTTTTGTTTAGGATTCCCTTTGCAACTGAGACGCTTCAGATTCGAAATCCTCTGGGTTGAGACTCCCTTCACTGATGGACCTTTTGGTTTCCCCGAACTTGGCCCATATTTCGTCCAGGTCCGCAGAAGTGACCACCTGTTTGTTTCCAGATTGTGCCCGTGTGGGCTCGGAGCAGTGACTTGTCAGCTACAGACCCCTGTAGAAAGACTACGTTCCTCATGGAAATGGGGTTTGTGCACTTCCATGTTAGTTGGTGGGAGGGTACGATTTGCTGGCTGGTGCAGCTGTGATTGTCCAGATAGTTCCAGCATCTATATCCATTGAGCAAGCAAGACATACCCTACTTGTTCCCCACGGCGTGGCAAGGAGTGGAGAGAAGGTGACTCCGGAGGACGTTGGGCAAGGAGTGCTTGGGGATTGCTGGCTCATGGCCGCTGGGCAAAAGTAAGCAACTATATGGCAGACTTGACTTATATCTTTGCCTCTTTGGTGTGTTAGGTCTCCTTTCCTTGGTGGTTGGGGGGGTGGGGTGGTGGGGGGGGGGGTGGGGGGGTGAGGGTGGGGGTGGGGTGGGGAGGTGGTGGTCATGTTTGCTTTCAAGCAAAAAGTCGACTCGTTGCAGGTCAGATCCACTTGGCTCAGAGCCCTGCCGAAAGGCAACCTGTTTTATCAGCGACCCGCTTTTCCGTTAACCGAGCCTAGGCCATGGGAACGATTTTGAAGCTGAGCCAAAATCGCTGGGATGAATCTGAAAACATAGCTGAACAATTGCACGACTTTCCACTACAGAGAAGCCACACATGAGTCATGTATGATCATCGGGCGGGTTTATTATTACTGTTCATGTTTAATAACCTTGAGGGGTTCACATACATATGTTATATAGATGTATGTTAGTTAATGTGTTTGCTTGTTTGTTTGCTTGTTTGCTTGCTTGTCGATTGATTTGATTGATATGGTTTATTTTACTTGATTTGATTGATTGATTTATATTATTTTACTTGAATTGATTGATTGATTTAATTTATTTGAGTTGGTTTGCTTGAGTTGATTTGATTGTTTTGCTTTGATTTGATCGATTGATTTGCTTTTTTTTTGATTTGATCTGATTTGATCTGATTTGATTGATTGATTGAGTTGATTTGATTTGATTTGATTTGATTGGATTGGATTGGATTGGATTGTCTGATTGATTTGATTGATTGATTGATTGATTGATTGATTGATTGATTGATTGATTGATTGATTG